AGGAATCCCAAATGACTTTGTCATAGCCGGGAAACATTACATAGCATGCTTCATTTTAGATTGCTCCTAAATGAACTGCCAGTATCCTCTCATCCTCTCCTGAAAACACTTCTCGGGGGGGAAAAATAAAATGCTATTGTTGCCTTTTCCTCAAGAATTTCCCAAGTTTCTTTGCCCTGAGATTTCTTGTTTGGTTGATTTTTTTTTCCCCTTCTCTGCTCACCAAACAAATTAGCAACTCGAAGTTTATCCAGTTTTTAACTGCAAGCAGGTACTATGAAGATAGCACTGTGCAGCACATGGCAAGGAAGCCCAACATACACACAGTATGAATTTGCATCTATCTGATAAGACCTGGGATGAACAGCCCAGGATTATGTTCCACCTCACAGAAGAGCCAGCAAGGTTTCTCTTAGAACATAAACAGGCACTACCTCTTCATAGTCTGTGAAACACTGCCAGGGCCCTAAGAAATTCATTATACAACCTCTTAGACTATAGAAGTGTTTAGACATCCTGTAAAGTCAAGTCTGACAGCTGCAATAACTGTTATGTTAAAGTTCAGTCAGGAAAGGCTTTCTTACAGTTCAGGCTCATTTGGTTTGTGACTAACAAATAAAAAGCCCCAAACCAAAAAGCCTATGAAATTATTTTTCTACATACCTTCAAATCTCTATAAACCACATTCTTCTCTGAATGCAGGTAATCCAGTGCTGAAACAATCTCAGCTCCATAAAATCGAGCCCGGTCTTCAGAAAAGACACGCTCTCTTGACAGATGGAAAAATAACTACAAAACCAATAATTTGTTACCTTTAAATTGCACGTTTCTGAGTTATGTCTCGCACTTTGCAGACCATCCTGCTGAGAATGCAATATTACCTAAGAGAAAAACCCTTCCCATCCTCACCCAGCTGTGTTCCCAAATGTGTTAAAGAGCTTCATAAATTAAATGACTAGACAATTATATCTCATATTCACGGATGCACACTGGTAGCCAGTTTGCGTGCTGCATATTCTTTTATATACAGAAAATTATTAAAACAAATTTTGATTGAACGACAATTACATATTAAAATTACAGCTTAATGCATGATTTAGAGCGGTTAATATTCCACCTTTTCCTTCTTGACTGTTTAACTGTAGTTTGCCATTTCTAATTCTCCCTCCAAAGTAATGTGTGCTCACCATATTCATTTAGAAGTGTTAAAAGTTGCCTAAAGAGCAACTACTAAGCAACCTTGCCTTACTGAGTTACTAAATATCAGATTACAATATGTTGCTGTCATGTAAAATATGAACCTACACCCAAAACCTCTATTCTCTAAATATGGAGTTAAGAAAATTAAGAGTCTTAATTCTTAATATTAGTTAAACCTGCAGACAGCTCTGTTTCACTGGGACAACTTGCATTAATTAGAATTGCAAACATGGACCTTATTACTAATTCTGCTTGACATTATTTAGCTAACACAGGAAAATCCTAAAGTATTAAACATTATTACATTTCCCTTACCTCCCCTCCATTAGCATACTCCATAACAAAACACAAGCGATCATGTGTCTGAAAGGAATACTTTAAAGCCTGAAACAGATTTAAACCAAAACTTAGAAGATCACACTGACACTTACAAAAGCATTTTTAATAGATTTTCAGAAACATAGACAGACATGAAATTTTCTATTTTAGTGAACTTTTTGTCCTTGGATCTTATATAATACTTACACTTTCCAGTTGCAGCTGAGGACTGATCCACTGCCAACTTATTTCATTACATAAATTTAATAAAACATTAAAAGAATCCCATGCAGAAGCTATCAGTAACACCTGTAATGCTGTGAAACAAAGACCTGGCCCAGTATCAGTGACACAGAACCTACCAACAGTGGCTCTGAAGTCTCCTCCTCAAGCCACAAGCTCCCACAGTTTCACCTCACAGACAAGGGTCCACAACCAAAGCCCAGAGCACAAGGTTTTACCGCACTGCCTACAAGCCCTCTTATATGAAAGATACATATTTACACACACCAGCCCCCTGGTCTCTGCCCTGCTCCCTGTTGACAGCCTGCCGGAGGATTGAGCAATGCTGTCAATATCAATTTATGAGCAATTCACAAAAACAGACCGGACGGAGGCTGTGATGAAGTGTCACAAGCTGCCTTTGTACAGTCCTGTCACATGTATTCCTGTGGCAAGAGCAACATCAACTTGTTTGCCACAGTCTTAAGTTTCTTGGTTGTAACCCAGTCTTGTAGCTGACTTCTCAAGACAGCCCTTGTTTTAGCTATTTGGGTTTATGAAAGCATTAAAAAGAAAATACCGCATATGATATCATCGTCTTCAATACCGGGGTGGCATTTTTAAACCAGTCGTATTTTAGTTGAGAGAGCGAGGATTGGGTTTTAGACATGACAACAAACATTTACTGATTATAACCAATACAGCCAGTATTTACTTCCAGAGGCCACACTTAAAAGTCTAAATTCCAGTTAAGCCCTTGTGTACCTGGACAAAGGAAACAACTACGATCTTACACAGGTCTCTTAGAGGCCTTAAGTGGCAGGAAACAATTCAGAGCCAACTTGTAATAAATGCTAGAAACAAAATCTTGAGGCGGAACTTATGTATCTGAACTCAACCCAGAGAGACTGCTGGCATTTGAGGTCTAAAGTGAGAGTGTGGTTTGATTTTACAGCTAAGCCAATCCAAAAGGAAAGCAGCGGATAAAGCACAGTCCTGCTCTTCCCTGTCCCATCCCACATGCTCCCACCACTATCCTTCAGTGGGCATTACCAGTGCTCTGATTCCATAGCAAACCGCTTCTGGGAGCTTAAAAAAACAACAAATGCAGGCAAAATTAAAGGGTTTTCCCCACACTATATCTTCTTGAACTTGTCACAAGATCAGGGTCACCCTGATCTCTGCTACAAAGAGGAGACCAAACATTTGGAGGACAAGGAAAGCAGATACTTCTCTCAGAGATAGCAAGCTATTAAATGGGTGAGCCATAAAGTCAAACCACACCCTGAAATATTGTCTTCAAGAGGCACTGAGGACCTGCTCTGCAAGAATCAGATGACTTAAAAAAGCATTTTAAATTTGTGCTTCCCAAAAATGAAGGGTACAAAAATACACAGCTGCTCTGAAAACACAGATCTCAGATGTATTACATACATATAACAAAAAATAAGGGACATTTTGGTTATCACGATGTCAAGTTACACTCAGCATAGGAACAAATGCTTACCGTTAAGAATGGATGCCGTGAGTTCTGTAAAACACGGTTTTCTGTCAGCGTGTGCGCTACTTCATCCTGAAACACAAGCAGAAGGAAATTGGCAAAGTGATTCCCCAGATCGGGGTCCATTTCAAACACTAACGGACCAATTATTTACAAGTACTTGGGAGAATCCTTGGTATGACTTTCCCAAAGGCTGTATCAAGGGTGAACCACATTCTCAAGTTTCCCATCTACTCACCTTTGCTACAATAACTTCCTTCTTCAGAATTTTCATCGCATAATAGCGTCCAGTTGCTTTTTCTTTAACTAAAATGACCTTTCCAAAAGTGCCTTTTCCCAGTAGTTTAAGGTATTCAAATTCATTCATGGTCTGTTAATGATAGAAATAAACAAGAACTTAATTGCATGAACTAACAACAAGTATGTCATTCTCAGACTAGAATTTCTCATTCACGTGAAAATACATTGCATATGTGGGTTTTTTTAATCCTTTTGCTTAGCAGAATTCAGGCGCAGAAATTATTCTTCCATAAAAATGAATACCAGTGCACTCCCAAAGATAATCAATCAAACTGTTTAGGGAAAACCATAAGCTTTCAATTAACAGAACACTCTTTCACATGACACAACACTCAAATGTGAGAATACCAGTCAACATACTATTATTACTCCATAGACATTTTGATCACTTTGTCAGTGCAGACATTCAATAAAAGGCACATGTTGCTCTGATTCCAGGGATTAAACCAAACCTTTTTTTCTGATGTTCCCCATCTTTCTAGGAGACCAGCTTTCTTGTGCCTCATTGAACAGCACCAAATCCCAGACAATATGACTGCCTCACAGATTAGCCATTTGCTCTTACTTGTTTTGCCATTAGGAAAAACGTTGGGGAAAATCAGAATCTGTCACAGCCTGAGGATAGTCTCTGTACTGTCATATCAATGACCATTGCCAACATGGCAATAGTAAGACTTTTACCACAGGAAAATAGGCGAACCAAAACCAGACCTGAGCTGGCCTTGAAAGCCATCCAGTAAGGACTTCTGAACTCAGAACTCCAGCTTTGCCTGGTACCTGCTCAGCTCAGACTATTGTTTCCTCCAGAAGCTGCATCTACAACCAACCACGTAATTGTTATGGGAACAGATGTGTCTTGACGGCTATTTCTTGTCTACGTTTGAGAAGACCTAAAAAATATTGTTATTCCTGCTATGCTCACTCACCACTTTGTGTTTTGGCTTTGTCATAGAAACTTCCATTTCTTCAGCACCTGAATTATCACTAGGAGAGCCAGATCTAAAATCCATCATCTCTTCCTCTTGTTTCTTGAGGCTGTCTGCTACTGTTTGGATGGCTTTTGTCCATTCTTCCCTGGCAAAAGATAAGCAAAGACATTCTTGTTACTTGTGACTTTAGATTACCGTCTGCCATTGCAAGGGTCACCAAGGAATACAGAACAACTAATGTTCTCTGATGAATCAATGCAACATACAATGAATTATGTGCATTTTCAAGTACTGTAAAACTGCATTTAAGAGCACTTTTAATATATATTTTTATTAATCATAGTAGAAACAAGGAGACAACTGATGTCCTTCCAGTCTGGATAAAATATAAGGCTTTTCAGACAACAGAATTTCTAATAGTCATTCAGTCAGCAGCTCAAGATATGACCCGGTGATACAGAGATTTACATAACAAAACCAGACTTGCCAAAAACAAAAGTCTTCCATGCAGCACAAAGCAATTAAACACATCTTCTCCATGCCTATGGTGCACTGAAACACATACTTCCAACTGCTGGGGGCACTATGCCACCTCTTCGCACACATATCCCAAATTTTCATACGAAGGGATGTTCTAGGAGATGGTATTAAACCCTAGGATACTTAGGTTATTCCTCTGTTGTAAAGATGATGACAGAAGTACAGCAATTCCTGTGTGAAGTTTAGCAGAACATCAGCAAAAACAGTGACGTTTTATCTTAGGCACAGGTCTTGGTTACGATAAAGTTTCCACAGCTGTTTCAGCAGTGGGTGCTCTAATACTGACCCCTTCAACTCCTATGGACTCCTATGCTTCCACTCCAGTGTCCTTTGGGAAATTTCACACCTTTGGAAACTACTGAAGTGAAAGTTTGTGGCTTTCACTTCATTTCACTGCGTATTTATTGAACCTAAAGCATACAATTTGCAGGGGCTCACAGGGTTTTGGGATGGACTTTAAGGCATGCAGGGGTTGCAGACATGTTCAGTGGACTATTGACCATGTTTTACTATCTTTCATATCTGTAAGGAACGATATGTAGTGGTTCAGCTGACATTTTTTTGGGCACTGGCTAAACTCTTCTCCCAAGGACACCCCAGGTAAATTACTTTGCTACTACATCAGGAACAAAAGTAGCCAATGCTGAACACCTCCATGCACATTCTGCAGTTAAGCCATGCCATCCTTATCAATGTCAAATTTCTCACTGGTTCTATGAGATTATTAAAAAAATAATAATCATATATGAACATGTGAATTTCAGTTTGTGATGGACAGAAAAGGCAAATCATTCCCCAGAGGAAGTAAAGTCCATGGGAAAAAGAATCCAACACACAAGTTTTTAATAAAAACTGCACCAATTACACATAAGGTCTTTCCCACCCTGTGCATTTCTTATTTTGGATTTTGTCTGAGCGTGCACTATCCAGCCCTGTCTGAGGCAGCAAGGTAATGCTAAACATTCTGAGCATTCTCCCTATATTTCCAGCACAGACTATTTCATTTGCCATCACAAACATATTCCTTTATTTACTAATAATTTTTCATATTCAAAACTATTACAAAATAAATTTTTTCTTCTGTACTTTTATCTCTCCATGTCTCTCAAAAACCAAATGTTGGTTTTAAAGGCACAGAGAAAGCTAAAGGTGTATCTACCGTCACATCTCTTAAGATTTGTTAGTGACTCAGTTGAGATCTCAGCCCTCCTGAAGTGAGTACCTTTGATTTCTGGAGACCAGAATTTCACCCTCAGCTTTTATGTCTCAAGTGTACCCAACAGAGGTGACTAACACTCTGAGCCCTGAAGTGTCACGAAGCTGACTTAATTGGCTAGGAGGGAACAAAACAAGACTAAAACACAATCTTCCCCCAAGTGGAAACTGTTATTCACTCTCTTTAGGGTCACTGACCACAAAGCTGCTAAAAGAAACAAGGACCAGTTTATTTTTCTTTGCTTTTAATTTGATTTCACCTTCTTCTGATCACTGTAATAGAATCAAAAGCAATAAACAGGAACCTTCTTTAAATCAGTGCACGCAAAGGCTACGAAAGAAAAAACCAAAGAATATTAGGTAGAATTTGCTGATCTTAAAAATAAACGTTCCAGTATCATATCTAGGGAGGACAAGGGGTTTAAAACACCTCTTCCCCTAGGGCAATGGTACTGGAATAATGTAAGTTCAGTTCCTGAAGAGTAAGTAAATATTTAAATACTGTGTAGTCATAGAATAATTGTGCTGGAAAACTGTTCTCTCAGGAGGTAAGAGATCAATTGTCCAATGATGAGAGCACAGGATGCATGCTCTTAGCTTTGTTTCCTAACAGCTGAAACAGAAATCTGCACCTGCAGCAGATAACTATCACCTTTATTGTCTAATTTGCATAAAACATTAGCAATCAGCAATGATAGAACTAACTTTTTTCCTTTAAAAAACAAGGTGTCTAAAAAGATTTTAAAAGGTCAGTATTTTGATACAACTCAACTTTGTCTGAATCTCTGTTTCACTTGTGCTCATCCTTCCAGAAACTCCCAGGTCAGAAACCCTTCATTTCACATACCATAACATTTCCAGTGAGAAATGAACCCTGAGTTTCCAGAAATAACTACCTGTGTGCTGGTACACACCTGCACCTGTCTGTTTTTCTGTTTTGGACACCCAATCTAGCAACATTTCATTTACAAATACTACTCAAAATCCGCTCTCTGAAACCCCCTTGAAGGTATCTTTTATACTGGAACACACACTAAAATTGAGGCGCTCAAAAATTATTTGTCACTTCTCAGTCTAGACGTACATCATCTGATAAATAAGAGCTTCAGCAAAGGACTCGCTATTAATGCTGAACACTTGCATCTGCTTTTGCAAGTAGTTTATGTATTAAATATGAATGAAACATACCGCTCCTCTGGAGTCTCCACATGAAATGTTCTTTCAATTACTGTGGTCCACTGGAGGCATCTAATGATAAATGTGTTTGGTTTAGGACGTTCTGTCTTCATCAGCTGGCACTCTACCACAATCAAGGAAGAAAGAGTCATGGTACATAAGCAAGTTTAAATAATCATTTGTCTTTATTCTTATCTAGCAAACTGTTGCAATTAATCAGCCATAGAAATCTCTGTAAGTACTTCTTTAGGAGACTTGAGACAATTTACTGTGTTGATGAAACCAATAAATAGCCTGCGAGATAGTCATCTAAGCAGCACCGAAATCAAATTTGGCTAAGACAGGCTCCACACTTGGTCTGCCTAGAGAGGTAAGCAGAAATGCGATGTGATGACACAGAAGCCATTCAGACTCAGGTCCTACACTCCAAAGGTCATCCAGAGCAGAGCACAGCACACGGACAAAGTCAGCTGATAATGCAGCAATTACATCCACTGAAACTAAAGCCAAGCCCCTACGTTCCCTCCCTTTGACTTTCCCAACATAAACCCCTGTCCTTGGCTTTCAAGGAGTTGCTAGAGAGAGTGTATGGTCATTTTGCAGGGACCTGACGAAGATTAAACTCAGCATTTCCAGTCCTCAAACACTAGAGGGAACATCAAACTACAGAGGCACCCCCAGAAAAGACCCCATTCTAAACTCCTTCAGGACAGCTGCCGCAGTCGGATGCTGGATGGACACCCAGCTAACAGCTCCCATCACTGCCAGCATTTAAGCACAACCTGAAACATGTACAGAACTATGACTACATGCAAAATCATCATTTTCTTCATAAAAATGCTCTCTCTCTCAAGACTTGAGCATTAATTTTTATTTTTTAAAATTATACCCGCTATTTTAAGCTTCATAGGCTGTTATAAGTGTTTATCCTTCAAATTTGGGCCTGAAAATGCATCTAATTAAAGGTACACTAGATATACTAAAAGAGAGGAGCTGAAAACCAGAAGAAAATCAATGAAGTAACAACAGAAGCCAAAACACTACATTTTGCAGATTCATATTATAATAGAAAATCTAATGCTAATTAAACAGCTCCTGTGAAAGGAAAGTCAAATTAAGAAACCAAGTGAGCAGGGGAGAAAAAAAAAAAAAAGATATAATTGGAGGGGATTTTTTTCTTAAACTAAACTATTTTCCTTGCAGTTAATGAAACCACAAGCTTGCTATTATTTGGTCTTCAGGTTCTAAATCAACTTCCAAGTAAATAAAAAGGCACTATGAAGACAAGAAGAAATTTCTGCTTACTGCTAGAGCTATGAACATCCTCCACCATCAGCAATGTGCAAGTTGAGGACAGAATCCTGCCAGAATAACAGTGCATGTTACTAAGGCTGCACTGGTATCGCTAGGTTGATTTTATTATTGTGAAAATTTAGAAGGCTCAGTTTTAAATTCAAGCTCTTAATTAGCACCAAGATAAAATATTTACCGCCAGTGTTTTTGGGCGCCGTATTTTTGGCAATATATTTCATGCCTCATTTGCTACTGGAATTATAAGCTTTTCAATGAGTAACTTTGCATTTTTCATGACAAGAAAATCTAATTTTTCTTTAATAGCACACTGAGGTTATACTGCATCCTACTAAAGCACTGCAATTAGATAAGAGAAAGTTTATTAATGAGTCATGAAAAGGTTTTAGTGTGATAAACGGCACTCCTTCATTCACTGAGATTAAAGAACTTCCACAGGGCGACACAGCCGTGCTTGCTGAGCGCCGTTATTTAGCCTTCCAGCTACCTCCATCCTCTTTCGCAGAATGGCAGTTAAGGCTGAACTGCATGAGATGGCACAGCCCAGGAAGCCCAGTTCTGATATATTCAACTCAAGGGATCTAATTCCTGCTCCCGGATTGTCCACCTTAGCTCAGCTGCTCTTCTGTTTTTTGCTGTTTGTTCTGTCTCCCATTTTTGCCTGCTTAAGGCGCATTAGATGAAGGCTGGGGTTGTCCTCTATAAACTTGCACAACGCAGCCCTAACAGATACAGAATTTGGCTGAAGACTCAAAGAAAAAAAACCAGGTCATTCCTAACCTCGTGCAAATCCAGAGCTGTTCTCTACTTATCCAGAAGTGCAACATGATGACCAACTGCACTAAGGGATTTTGCTTACTTTTTTAAAATAGCCTTTAGATTCACATTTAGTGCCTCAGATTAAGTATTCCGAAGTAGCAGCACAGATATTTAAACTAGCCATGAACTCTAAACTTTAACCATTTAATTTCAGCATAATAAACCATACAAGACATTTTCTGTCATAGAAACGGACCAATTAAACATCACCACTTTTCCCCTAAATCAGCACTGTCCATTGATATTTGCTAAGCTTGCTGATCCAGCAATCTTTAAGGCATACAGCAAGATGAATAATAGAGATTTGTCAGTTAATAACCACTATAATTCAAGTATGTCACATAGAAGTGTTTTGTTTAGTGAACAATATGCTGTCTAATTACCCTGCTCAATCATAACAGCACATATCAAGAAATACAGAAGGCTTTATTTTTAAATTGCTTTGCCAAAGTGCTGTACCACATAGGTTTCGTAAAGTTTGATGCTACCACTTAGTTGTCTCCATATATGACAATTGCATAGATTTTTATCAACAGAACGATGAAGCAGCACGGTTTTTTCTTACTTTTAAAACCAACTCTGCTCTTTACTGTAGTTGGCAAGCTACAGAAGCACCACTTATGCCTTCTATAATCATGTACTGCAACATGCACCACTACAGCAGAGCACAGATACAGATGCTGTATAATATGAGGTCTGATTCATGGCATGTTTGGGGGTTCTGCTATAAAAACATTCACATTTCAAATATGGCAGAGGGTCACTTACTCACTTTGGAGACAGTTTTTCCTGTCAAAATGGCCAACAAAAGTATTCCCCATTTGCAACAAAGTACGTACTATAAACAGCAGCCTGTTAAAAATGATTTAAATTGCTCTAAAGAACCTCTTGATTCTTTCCTGGCATTTGGTCTTTTAAAGTAAGTAGGACAGAGAAATTGTTCCTAACAGGAATAGACACCAAGGCATTCAAATGTAAATTACCATTTTGTATTTGAAAGACACTTAGTATTATCCCAGTGACTTTCTAAAATGTCACAATATTTGCTTCCCCAGCACTTAAGCTAAAAGGCAGATTACTTGCGATGAAAGTGTCAAACTCTGTTCCCTATATAATGACATCACACTTTAAAACAATAATGTGAAGGAAGAATCCATCCCACTCCTGCTTTAGTTTCTTTAAGGAAGAAGATGGGGGGAAAAAAAAGAAAAAGAAAAAAAAGGTAAATCAGGCAAGAAGAATGATAAGTAAATAAAACTTTGGAAAGGCAAACAGGAATATTATGTTGAAGTGCTCCTCTTCTGCTAGCTCCACCGGACAGATTTGCCCTCCCGCAGTTCAGCACGGTGAAAGTGAGGAGCTGGGAGCCCTGAGGTACAGACCTGGATAAGGTGGCCGCTAGTAACAGCAGACACAGAAAATCTCTCCACTATCTGGCCACCCTGTGTCCCATGATAAATGCCTGACTGCAGACACGCAGTCCTGTCCCAAAAGGAGCGCTCATATTGTTGAGCAATTATGTTTTCAGCTGTACACAAAACCACCATAGTCCACTCTCCTTTTTGACAGAGAAATAATCCCTTCTTTCTAACAGGAATAGCCTCTCTCTCCATGTGTTTTTTTCACAATATACTGCTCTTCTCAGCTATATGGTTTTAAAGGCTTATAACCTAATAGGCAGACATACATGATAATCCGAGATTACAACTGGTATGAAGGCTACTTATCTTGCAGATTTACAACACAGGCTCTATTGGTTATTTATCTGCAGGGTCTCTGGAGCAGAACTACTTAGGTACAGGCTTTTTTATTCCTTCTGTATCTTACAAGTGGTGAAATACAGAACATGAACACAAATAGGGCTCAAAAATCAGTTAAATGCTCATCCACCACCTTTCAGAAGTTTTGCTTTGGTTGGTTGGTTGGTTGTTTTTAAAATAATTCACCAATATGTAACTTTCAGGGAAAATATACTCCTTAAACATATCATTACATTACAAACATAGATACACAGCTATTTTAAATGGAAAATTAGATGAAGGAAAAGGTACTTGTGAGTCTCTCTTTACCCATGGAGGGGCCCTATAAACAAGTTATCAAAGGTGTATGATCAAAACCCTCACAGACTGAAAGGAAAAGGCTTGTGTGGGAGAAAGAAGAGACTGTCATGCACATGGAAAGCACGCTCGGTATTTATCGCTAATACTTTCTTCATACCTGTTAAGGGAAAAGACAAATAATCATCACTGATTTGATTCAATAGAGTATTTCCTACCTCTCATGGGTTGACCAAAATCGCCTAATAGGAATTTTACACTACAAGTAAGAAGATCAAGTAGAGATCCCTAGTCATGAAAAAACTCCTTTTACTTGCAAAGATAAAAAAGCCTACATTATTTTAAAGCAGAAGAGGGTAAAGATTTTAATCAGAAACATGGGACCACTTCCAAAGAACAGACTGACAGAGACAGCCTGCCATCTCATTAAAAAAATCTAGTTCACTAATTAACAAAAAAGTCAGGACTATCATGGTCTCTTGGAAGGAAAAAGGAAGAAAAAAAAAAAAAGGATGAAATTTTACAAAACATTTAAGCTAAATTCTCCCCACCTTTCACTGGCAGAAGGCTTCTGCAGGCTGCCTCTGCAGCGCGAGGTTGCACTCTGGCCAGAGCCTTCCTCCAGAGGCAGCTCGAATTCACTCATGCTAACTCGACAAGCTAACCCAAACGAAAATACCAAGCAAGCAGGTTCAAAGAGAAAACTTGTGGTGCAAAACACATCCAAATGATACAAGTGTGAAGGGTACCCAGAAGGGAAGCGCACATCAGGTGCTGGCAGCACTGCATGCCAGTGCCTACATGAGAAATTAAATCCTGGTGGGGCAACAGCTGCTTCAGTGAGCCCAAAACCACAATAATGACTTCTCACAAGGAGGCCTCCCCATAATCACCAATGCCTTCCCGACCTGCCACTGGTTCACCAGGCAAGAACATCCTTCCATCCACCACCCTCTCCACAATCCCTCTTTTGGGGGCTACACCTTGCTCCATAAGCATGTGTCATATCTTTTTCGACAATGCTCTGATACCATGGTAACAAACTTGTTTATCTATAAATGCCAAGGCTGATGGGCTCAATCTGCCAAAAAATGCACCATATTCCTGTTGTGAAAACTGATTTAAGTTAACCCTTTTTGAAGGCAACCTGGACAAAGAGAAGGCAATGGACACATCCTTTTTTACTCCTTAGCACTGAGTTGCAGTAAATAATTATTTTAAGTAATGCAGTTGGCAGCAACAGGATGGAAGAGTCCTGCAAAAAGTGCATTTGTTAAAAGCCTCTGGCTACAGACCAAGTAGTGAATTAATTTATGAATTAATGGCTTTCTGCTGCTTTTCTTTACCTTCTTGATCCATAAGGAAATACCAGTCTAAAGAGGAAAGTACTGTGTCATTACTGAAACAAAAACACTATGACAATTCTCTAAACGAGACAAAAAACCCCAAAGCACTCTTGGCATCCTGCACAGAGGCACCAGGCAACAGCACGTCTATTATTTATTCCCATCATCAGTCAGAACAGGTATATGTTGCTACCAGCGGGGGGGGAAAAAACCAAACGAACATTTGCATTAAATCCTAGTACTGCCCAGCCCTCTTCCAGGCCCAGTGTGTTCCAAAATGTCTGTCTGCTTAAAAGTCAACTACAAAGATGAACCCCACATATTTCAAGCTACTCTGTAACGAAGACGAAAAGCCCCTACCCTTCTCTCTGCAGAACCTCACTTCCACTAGTCACCAGGAACATGGAACGGATCGTTGTTAATAACAGGTGCCACAATGATCTATTTTTAAATGGTGGAATGAGACACAGGCAGATCATGAGACAGGAAAGATTAAGAACAGGAGAAAATAAAGGCTGGAAGTATATAGCGAAAGGTTAAAAACATGAGCGAGAAAAGGAAATTATCTTCAGATTCTTCTATCACATCCTGTGCTGCAGCACCTGAGCAAAGTCGGAAATGTTTGCATAGGGCAGTGCAGAGGTTAGGAGATGTTGTTATTTCCAAACCTTTTTGTTGGCTCTGATAGAAGAAATACGGTTTTGCGTTCAAAACTAAGAAAAATTGAGTGCCTTTCATTAAAAGCAGTGTTTGCTCCACGTTCTCTTACGCTAATAGTCAAATAACTTTGACCTATGCCAATGCCACTTGAATCCAGATTTGATGGCAGAACAGGCTGAAACGCTTCGGCTGTGCCTACCTGCCAAGTACCGAGACGTGAGTCTGAGTTAATTTTCACTTTAAAGCAACTTGCTGAATAACAAGATATACAAAATATTAACAACTTAACCCATTTTATTCTATAACCAGAAATGGTACATTAGAACAAAACTGCAAAAAACCAGCAGAGCATCAAACCTCCACATCACAGTCATTCCTGAAAAACCTGGGGTTGAGGGGGAGGTCATCTCAAATAAACACATTTAGTGTTTAGATACATTTGAATGTTACTGATGCAGTTCACGGCACTATGACTACAAGAAGACATCAACCTCCAAAGTGGACGAGAGCGCAATGTAAAGACACTTACGAGCTACTGAGAAGTTATTTAAAGGTGATTCCCGCTGGTCGACATCCTGTGGTCGTTCCTTGTAGCCAATGAACGTGCCATCGTTCTTTAGAAGAAAATACCGTGGCCTCCATGTTTTTATGTATTCTCCTGGAAAGAAAGGATGGGCAAAGGGACAGATTATCAGAAAACACCCCAAAATACTGACCCGCCAACAATTTTTCTTTTTAAATATTGAAACTATATGTCATCCTGACATAGCAGGAGTTTTAAGAACATTGAGTTCATTCTGATACAAACAGTGGAAAAATACAGGCGCTGAGTCAAATATTGTTAGTGATATTAACCATAAAAATGGGACTTCATAAAAGGTAAACAGCTATGTTTTGTTCTTCCATCTACCCCGATTTCCATTCAAATTCTGCAACATCTGCCTTAAACGCATTTTAAATTTTAAAAAAATCAGAGCAGATGTCCTATGTATTATTTTTGCTATTGTCATTTTTCATACTGACAAGTGGAGAAATTTTTTTCATTTACATTTTGCAGCGCAAGTATTTTAAACAACAATGGGTAATTTACTAATTAGTCAACTGCTTTATCAAACCAACAGTCACTTTTAGAACATAAGAAGATAATTCTCTGCTTAAGTTACATAACATCACTCACTCCTCTCACATCTCAAGCGTGAAACACGAGATGATATATCACAATATGAAGGGGAAAACACTGAATGATGTATAGCCACCACAAAGAAGAAAACAAACATCTAGTCTGAAAGATATTCCACCTTTCTTTGTCAGAGAAAAGATCCCTTGCTCACACCACGTTACGGCTCATCTAAGTACCCTGCAGAGGTGACAGTTGCATGACTGTGTCATAGCCACATTGAAAATGTCCAGCAGAGGAATAAAAAGAAAAAAGTTGATCAAAACCTCAGTTATTTACTGGATATACTCAGCTGGGCTTCAGAGAAGGAAGACAAGAGTTCCACCTGTGGCTCTTCTGGGGGAATTTGTCAATGTGCCTCAGTTTCCCCCTTTGCTCATTGTCCATGATGTCATCTTCTCAGGCGGTCTCTCTAGAACTTCAAAGAGCTTTACATGGGGTCAAGCTGGCCCTCTAGGTCCTACAAGGTCCTGCAGCAATGTTTCTATTTGGCTGAATCAGAAAAGCCTCACTCAAGGTGCTATGCAAATCAGGACACCAGCCACACTTTTCCAACTCTGCTCACCCCAACAGCTGATTTAAAAAAATGTGGTCACTACAAAGCACCCACAGCTGGGCAGCTGCTATACCCTCCTCCCTCCAGTATGGTTTCTCACTTGTTTGTTCAACATCAGGGCGAGGACGAGGGAGCAGACTAGGAGCCAAGCTTCTTTCAGGTCTGCCACAGCAAGAGCACGCCTGCGCACCCTGTGATGCTGCCCCTGCAGCGGCTGGTACCCAGTGCCTACGGCTTCATCTGCTGGCGAGCTCTTCAAACTGCCACTGAGAACAGCAAGAAGAAAAGGCTCCCCAGATTTATTTATTGGCTCTGGCAACCTTCTGCTGCTCTCCTCTTCTCCCAGGCTCCACTCACTCCTCTTTTCCTGCTGCTCAGCTCTCCTCCACCAGTAATTTCACTCCCAGCAACGTGCACCCTGCCCCAGCAACTCCCCTGCAGCTGCTTTGCCTCCTTCCTCTCCCCACAGACCTCCTCTCCTTCTGCGGTGCAGTTTCAAACTGCTTCGGGCACCAGCTGTGTCATTTCTTTTCCATTCAGACTCATACTTTTCTCTCCCGCACAGAGAAACACGAGCAACACCAACACCCATGCCACGCGGCCATGGGTATGCGCACCCCTAGCTACTACTTTCACCTGTTCAGCTCTCATCAAGCTTTTAATTTTCTAATCTAAAGCAAAAAACTTAAGTTACCAAGCCAGCGGAGAGAGTCACAGAGCTACCTTTCCAACAGCAGCCATGTCTGCAGAAAACATCCATTTGCACTGATGAAACAGGGCATGAGGCAAGAAAGATAAGAGGAAAAGGAATGAGCACAAACCGTCTCAGTCTTCCTTTTAGAGACGTCTGTTACAGCCTCAAGTGTTATACTAACCTACAAGGGGTCTACAAAAATGTCATCGTTGCTTTAGGAATTTCAGAAGAAGTCTCCTATAGCTGTCATGGCTTAACATTTATAAGCAAGGCAGTAAATGTAGAAGGTTTTGTTGTTGTCATCTTTTTCATTCTGACCTTAATTAAACGCTGAAAACTTTCTGGGATCAGTAGGAGATTATGAAGCCTTTCACATTTAAATTGCCAGTCCAACTCAGCCCAGATCAGTGAGATTACTCCAATCTCATTACTATTACACCACAGATGTGACTACAGGAACAAGAAGATACATGGCGTGCTCAGCCCAGCTCTCGCCGAGAGGTTTGCCAGGTAAGGAGGTCGGGAAGGCAGCTGCCTGGACTATCAGGATTTTGGAATGCGCTGTTACACATCTGACTTGTTGGTATTTTCTTCTCTTGCATAAAGCAAACTCGGGAGACCTTGGAACCACCTCATACCCCTTTATAATACCTTCATTTAGGACTAAATCCAGATTGGACAGAATGAAAAACATCTGAAGAGGAGCAAGACAGTGAGTTTCCATTTCCCTTACTCCCCAATATATGCTACACGTCTTCCCCATTGGTATTTACAGAGGAGATATTTATTTTTTGCAGATTCTGAAATTATTATCTGGTTATTTTCAGTGAACTATGCATAATTTTACACAAAATTACACTGTACTGTCACAAGAGACTTTTCTTAGATTAGATGCTTATGTTTGGCTCTCGTACTTCCTTACAGCTTTATTCCACCGATCTGTTTCTCTGTTAGAAACACATCATCTAACAGGATTAATCACATAGTCTTTAAAATGGTGTATTCCATACATATCCTCCTCCACACTCACTCTTTCTTCTTTCTTTCTGTGTGGAAAAAAATCAAGGATTTCATTACTGCCAGGCATTTTGCAAGGACCATTCTTCTTGGACCTTCCCTTGTCCTTTGCTTTAGTGGATTCGGGTTCCTGATCCACCTTTTTAATTTGCAAATAAGTAACATGATTTTAAACTTCTTTTTCTACATGTCTGGAGCATAATGAATCCTGTAATATGGCAAGCATACATATTATTGATTATTGCTCTTGCCAATGACAGTATGAGGCACACTGCAGCATCTGTGGTATAAATTTTAAAATATAACACACTGAGGTTATACTTCTGCATCTTGCAGCAAAGTGGCAAGATATTGCCTGGCATGTGACTTCCCAACTGGTTACTCTGTAAGTATAATTTTACATTCAAGCCTGAGCAAACTATCATTCCTCTACAGAGGTTCTGAAACAGATTCACCAAAGCAGTCATCAAGAAAATGTACAAAGTACATATTCTTAAGAAACAAGCTTATATTTTTATCATTAGCTAAAACACTATGAACTTCCTACAACCTGCAAGGAGGACCACATTGATCTCGACAGCAAATTCGAGTATTTTAGACAGAAAAGGAGTTTGTCAATACAGACAAAAAATAATTATGTGGAACCACTGGGACGAAGCTGACTGAAAAACATTAACACCGTTTCCTTCCTCTGATATACTCAGTAAGCTATCATGCCTGAAGAGTGAACTGAGCTGTTTCATTTTTTGCCCTGTGTTTTTTGTTCCTGTTGCGGTTTTGTTTTTAAGAATCATAAGCAAGAGAAGTTACTTGAAGTCACTAATATTAGTAGCTATGTAGTCACACTAGAAGAATTGTACTGAGTACAGTAAATGCAAGCACGTGTGGCAAATTCTATCAGACACCACTAAAAAAAATAATAATAATAATGATCCACCATGGAAAAGTGAACAATTTACAAAGCAAAACATTTTTTCCTCTGTGATTCATTGCTTGTGTAATGCCCTGGCAGAGCCTTCTTTGTTTTCAGTAACAGAATGCTAACACTGCAGAGACAGGAAAGCAAAAGCATGGGTTATAAATCCTACATATAAAATCCTGGAACCAAATAGACTCCTCTGTAGCTTGCTAGCTTTATTATTTAAAATCTTTATGTACCATTCTGTTTACTCTAAGCAATTTCCAAATTGCAAAGATTCCCAAACTGTATATATCTGGAAATACACATGAAGATTGTTATAGACCGATTTCCCTTTATTGCCTTGTGTCTGCCCCCACACACTGCACATTAAAATACTTAACACACACTTAGAATGTAAATCCATCTCATGCCAGAAAAGCTTTTTCACAGTAACATGTACTGCAAAGCACGCTTATGCCTGAATATTTCAGAAAAAGTTAAACACAAAACTCTTCTGGTTCATGAAAAGTTAATTCTACTGAGGATTTACAATAATGCAGGGTTAGGTTATTTTCCTCTCCTCCCCACAACAGTATCTCACCGAATCTGGAGCTGTCTACCACTGATAGAGTGTCTAACATCAGAAACAGCTGCCACTCCCTGGGAAGCTCACGGGGTAAGTGGAGAATAATGAGCAGCAAGCACCAGCAGAACAAAAGAAAATCCATCTTTATTTACCAACTGCTGCATGCTTGTTGCTGCATCAAGCTCATTCAAAGCCAACACCACACCCTTTAATTCAGAACAGACTATATTTAAGAAGCCTCTGCTTTATTTTTTTAATCAACTCATACATACCAATACTTCGGAAAAAAAATTAAAAAATCATTAGGTTAACATCAGCATCCAATGATATCCTCCATATTTACAAAAGCATCGTAACTTTCTTATGCCCCAAAGTAACCAGAACAAGCCCAGGAGCACCGACTGACAAGGTCTCACCTATATGAAATGCACTCAAGTGGCCACCACAAATCTACGGATAAATAGTGCATTAAACTTTCTGCTCTGAGCATCAGAAGTAGTACCATTAATTACAATTAAGGTTAATACTCAAAATATTAGAGCTTTTGAGTGACGCAAGCCTTCTCTACATTCCCACACCCTCCAAAGACATACAGCCCTGAACTGTCCGAGGGAAACACGAAAGTTATGCCAATGGCAGCACTAATGTACCACCGGTCAAAGGCGGAATGACTCATTTCTGAGACTTCAATGGCAGCGAGAAGTGGTCTGCATCCTGTC